TGGAATTCGTGAGGGGGAGGACAGAACGTCGCCGGCTGGACGGTGTCACACGACCGGCTGACCATCGCCGCCTGCTGCTCCAGTTGACGTCATCGTCGTCATCATCATCATCATCATCATCAGCAGCAGCACTAACGACGCTGTTGCTCCGGTCTACCGACCCGAATAGTCCTAAACTAGGCCGATTACGCTCCCGGCAAGCCTCCCTCGATCGCGCTAATTTACTTTCTCTGTGAAGCGCGCCAACCCGCCTAAAACGTTCATTCTTCGCCTAACAGATGTTGCAGGCATTTGGATGAGGCAAATCAATTACTGTCATAGTCGTGAATGTGCGCAACAGGTTGGGTGATTACTGTCGTCTGTTAGCATTACTTCACTTTTCCCAGAGCGTTGGCTTTGGTGTTTGACTAAGAGACATGCCAGCCGCATGCTGTCATGGACAGAGTGCCTTGTGGATTTTCCAGTGACGATGACTATCAAGTGATTTTCAAGTAGCAACTCTCTTCTAAAATAGGCGATCATGACCTAACTGGGAGAAGACCACCGTTGGGACTTGAATTTGAGTTCCCTGCGGAAGGTGCGTCTGCTGGGAAACACTGTCCGATAACATGAAGCAAATAAGTTTACTGAATGATTGAGGATCCTATTAAGGTATGGAGGTCAGGCGTAAACTTGGCAGAAATGCAAGTCATAGATGCTTTGGCAGATTTTGAATAATTCATATTGACCCAACCACGAGAAGCTCGGCGCCTCGGTGGGATTCGAACCCACGCAGTAAGGGGAAGACTTTAGTACAGCCAACGCTCTAACCACTTGGGCTAAGAGGCCCCGCCGGACGACGCGAGTTTAATCACGTTATCACATAACCAGATATGAATTATTCAAAATCTGCCAAAACATCTATGAATTACGTGAGCCTAGTAGTCATCTGATGGATTCTAGGTGAATTACTTAGGAAATCCTGCTTACTGCATCAGATTTGGTGAAGTCCAGACGTTGCAGTCGGTTGGGCGAGTAACTTGACCCAAATGTGATTAAACTGGCGTCATCCGGCTGGGCCTCGTAGCTTAAGCGGTTAGACCGTTGGCTGTACTAAATCCTTCCCCTTACTGCGTGGGTTAGAATCCAACAGAGGCGCCGACTTTTTCACAGTTGGGTCAGTGTGAATGAAGAAATACAAGTGGATCGCCAATTACCATCTGAATGCAAAGGACATTGAAGAGCGGAAGACGTTAAGTTTTGTTAGCGCATTTGTTGTAAAGTCACCGAAATAGAAGGAACAATTGTTGTTGTTGTTATTATTATTATTATTATTATTATTATTATTATTATTATTATTATAAATAAGTGCTTATTTGCTATGCTCCGAAAGTTCGGACTAACAGGCGCTTAGTAGGTTAGTCATGATTGTTGCACGGTTGATGAGCAGTCAGTCACTGCCAACTCCATCTTCTTCATGTCAAAGGAACTGTTAGGTGGAAAGGTGAATTCGAATAATTATGCTAGACTGAGGACGCAAAGAGCTTTTATAATAGTTCGACTGGATAGCGGCACGCTCCGTCTTTTGGCAGCGTCTATAGTCACCTTTGTGTTAGGGGATGTCTGAAGGCACGGCCACGCAACCAGAGAGAGTTGCTCACGATCACTCGGTCGGCGAGACTCCAACCAAAGCAATTCAAGGTACTTTCTTAAGGTTGAATAGTAAGTATTCTAAGAAGAAGAGGTAATCAGTAATGACGATGTAGACTGTTGTCTTATAGGCTGAACGGCATTAATGACAAAGAAAAGGGAGACTGGAATGGCCATTTCGTGCTTATTAGCCATCATCATCCAGCCATACCAAACCCCGAAGTGTGGAACACCTGGGGCCCGAAATCGCGACCTGTTAGTTAGAAGTCCAACGCCTCTAACCCCTAAGCCACGGCCTCGTCGTCCTGTCGGCTTCGACCGGGAATTTACCGATCTTTCTTACGGAACTCACTCGTTTCGTTGTGCCTTACGGGCTGTCACTCGAGTTCAACCAGCAGCCGCACAACGGCCCAAGATATAGGCAGATATAGGCAGTGAGCTCCTTAAGAACGATCAATGAGCTCTCCCTACCATTGTAAATATCCAATCGAAACCGACAGGGCAACGAGCCCGTGGCGCAGTGGTTAGAGGCGTGGACTTCTAACTAACAGGTCGCGAGTTTGAGCCTCGGATGTTCCACACTTCGGGGTTGGGTATGACTGGCTGACGACGGCTAATAGGCCAGAACTGGCCATTCCAGTCTCCCTTGTCTTTGTCGGTAATGCTATTCTACCTTTTCTTTCCTTGAAGGAATTCCAAAAAAGGAGACAATGTTGTTGACATAGTCAATGTTTGGGGCGAAACCTTGTTATAACCAGATCGGATACTACACAGAGATTACTTTCGGAACATATTATCAACCGCCACAGCCAACCGAAGATAACAATTTCCAGCAGACAAGAAGGCTGAACGAGACTAATGCCACAGACAATTGTCCTCTCCTGGACACATGATCCTTGCGGCAAATCCATTCGTCAAGCAAGTAGACGCTCAGCAGATCCCTACCGGGGAGGGTGGATGCGATAACCTATGATCCGGTCTGAAAATGAGTTAAGCTGGTGTATCTGCAGTTCTATCATTCTGGTTTGCCCAACCTTTTAAAAATGACAGCGGAGCGACACGCCTTCAGTTATGTGAAGTGCACTCGCCTTTGCCAGTTTATATCGATCATTACTAGTCACGGGTCGTTACAGTGAAGTGCCCTGTTGTCGGAGGATTTGGCTTTTCAGCATCCACCAGCCAAAGGTTCGAATAAATCTTCATCCACTTCTTTGCGTAATACTTGTTCTAGGTTGTTTATAAAAGCCTAGTTCTACTAACGACATTATCGAATGCGGTTAGTTCTAAATGAACCGAGAGCAGACGGTCGCGCGCGACCTTCAGCAATGCGAGCGGCCAATGTGACAACTTGCCAAAGGTTGTTGAGTGTTTGACTGTACCGCAGTTCCCAAACGTCGTTTTTTAGGCGGAATGGTGGTTGTGATTGTTCGGAAAGCAGGCAGACTCTGGCTGTTACTAGTGTGGTCCCACCAACAACAGCAACCTGATTCTCCCTCCCCAGGCATTTAGCCACAATCGAGAACCGCACTTACCCAGTACGTGTTTGCGAGAACTCAAATCTGGTCAGCGCTTTTACCGCCCCTTAAGTGCAACCGCTGTTTCAGGCGCTGCAAACATCTCCTCGCCCATACTGGGCGGTCATGCCCAGCAAAACCGAGAAGATGGTAGAAACGGTCTCTTTGATCACTCATGCTAAAGTTGTCGAGGACTTTAGGTTTGGTGGAAGGGCCAACTGAGCGTGCGTACTCTAGCCATCCGTTGGAATTATCAGAACACCCAACGTTAAAGAGAATTGGCTTCGCAAAGGTGGCCACAGTGCTTATACGTTTAATTATCATCGTGTTGTGGTTCGTTGTAGTTTTTCGACTGCATTTTTTGCTTTCACAAGCTGTGGTTAACTTACCGACGGTATGATTTACCCACAATTTTTGGGGACTCCTTTCCAGCCCCCTACTACACGATGAGTCGGTCAGCGTTATACCTAAATAGGACTGCTATGTTATCCCAGGCGGTTGCAGAGTTACACTAGGGGCAACAACTTCTGGTTTGTGCGTGCTTTAAATGAGATGGAAAGTCATGGGAATAAGGCGAAGACGAGTTTCCCCAAACCTGTAAGACTGAGTCAGTAGACAAAACTCTGCAGGGATTACGTGTCGCACTCGTTGTGCCATCGTGCGTATTTCATTGGTGCTGGCCTTAACAGTGCCTCCTATACAACTGCTTATACGTCGGATTACTGACCTATTTATTCCATATTTGGTCTTCTCTGGGAACAGTTTCATTAAATGTTTCGTCGGTGCATGCTTAGAATAGCCGAAGCTGTGCGAAGATGCTGGCTCTGTCTACTCGCAGTCCTCAGCTGTCGTTTGCGCGAAGACCAGTGAATCCGAGGATCGAAACATTTCCCGAAATTTATCCCACATCCAACTGTACTTTTTTTCAGAAGGGCGTCTTGCCAGTATCTAAAAATATGCGGTCATGCACCAGGAGAAGCAGCGTCTTCGCATTCAGCCATCTGCATGAACACCAGTTAATCCCCAGAGATAATTGAACAAGGAGGCCTACATAGGCACCAGGAAGAATAATGACGAGGCTCTTGTTGGCTCCTCTAGCAAAATACAGTTTACTGGGTCCTCGTGAAATGATAAGCGGACGTCGAGAGAGAAAGATGGACAAAAATGGTGGTGATTTGGAACAGCAAAAGCAACAGCGACTAGACGCTAATCCCTCAGATCAAAAAGCCATTACTAAGTGACGTCTGATTGGCTGACGCCTGGCCATCTGGTGGCCGCCTCACACTCAAGCCAGCCATGGCCACGTGGCCCGGGGATTAGACTGACTCCCTGGCAGTTGGCCGCAGTTAGCCCTTTGCATTTTAACCACAGGACAGAGATTGTAACGATATTCGGAGACGTCCTGGCTTTTCGGACACACGGTCTCTTGCTTGAGCAGATAACCACCGTCCTGTGCCTAGTTGACCGGCATAAACCACCTGGCGGTGACTCTGAGACATGAGTTGCAGTTAACGAAAATAAGCTCGTGGATGTAACCGTAATAAAACATAAAATGAGGAATATTTAAACGTTCCAACTGGGTAATAAGGAGAACAACGGTTTTAAGCTAAAATTTTTAAATCCATGACAGCAGTGACGAACAATGGTTGTGCTTGTAGTCCGAGAGGTTTGGAGGAACCCTTAGTAGCCTTGTAGGAGTCTGTTTCACTGCTTTGTAGGGTACCTAGTGACAAATCCATAATTACGTTTGCTCCGATTAAGTAGACAAACCACTAAAGCCACAGTGGCGGTGGTAAAGCAGAAAGCTGTGTTACGAGTGACTTGACATATAGAAGTGCTACAAACATAGTCTGCATAATGCACAACGATACAAGGCCGAGAACCAGTAATGCGCATTTTGCTGCTGCAGCGAATGAGACAGTGGTCAATTCTGACAGTGCATATAATCTTTCATTTGGTCCAGCCGGTTTTTACTACGACTGCGATCACTATCATTATCACTACTACTACTACTACTACTACTACTACTACTACTACTACTACTACTACTACTACTACTACTACTACTACTACTACTACTACTACTACTACTACTACTACTACTACTACTACTACTACTACTACTATCACTACTACTACTACTATTACTATTACTACTACTACTACTACCACTACTACTACTACTACTACTACCACTACTACTACTACTATTACTATTACTACTACTACTACTTCGTTTGTTAGCATCATTGATGGTTGTAGCTGTTATTTTATGCACTAGTAGCGCGGATCCACTGTAATGGATGTTAAACCGCACTGCCGCTTTCCGTTTGAAAGTTGTTTAATAAATATCCTAATGCTTACTAATAATCGAAACAATACAGCAGACTAGGGTTGTCGTCGCCAACAGCACTTCGCTTACCGCTGCCACTGAAATCTTCTCGCCCATTAGAGCCGTTTATTTTACCTTCTAACCGGTACTGCAACAGTATCTACCGTTGTCGACGATGCCACCTGGCACTAGAAAGTGTTTTGACTTGAAATAGGGGATATGAATAGGGTAGGAGAAACATGTGTTCCGGATTCTGATAGCCTGATCGGACCATTCGGCCTAGCACCGATCAAATCTTATACCTCCATCTCCACAGACTGTAGTGCCCCCACCGAATGATACATTTTGAGAAGCCTTCTTACAGACCCAGATTGAACAAGAGACTGTGCAACGTTTATCAAGCGAACAAAGGACGGCAGCAGAGGCGATATGTGTTCCCCACCTGCGTGTCTTCCGCCTGAAGTATAAAACCCCGGTTCAGGTGAAACCCTCCCCATTCCAGTCAATCCCGGCTGTGAAAGAACTCAGTGAAAGGAACCGAAACGATCAAAAGTTGGATCACTCATGTTTCGAAAGGTGGTCCCATAGAAAGCATTTTACTGGGAAGTGTTGCTGAAGGGCTTTGGCGATTGCCGAATGATCGGCCTTTTAGAGTGGCTTTTGGTGTCACATGTGAGATAGTCACCGCTAGACCGATGGGCTAGGGGCCAATTCAACAGCATATTTTTCTTGATTTTCGAGAGTGAAACGATTCGTTTTGAAACCGAAACTCCGGACTCAAAGCGTTGCCAAAAGAACCCCGACTACAGATCTTATATCCTCACCTAGGTTTGTCTTAGAAAGGGTCAAACTCATGCGGGGAGACAAAGTGCGGCAGCAGCAGCAACGGCTGTGGTGTTTTCCAGGGTGTTTTCCCTGGAAATTTAAGTAGAGACCAGTGCTCTCTCAGGTAAACCTGGACCCTTAAAAGAGCAGTGTTTTAGCTCCAGGTGCTTAACTTCCGACAGTCTTCCAACGGCCACTACAAGCAGGCGATGATTTCCGGCTTGTAAGGGCAGGCGCGCGTGCGAAACACGCGTCGTGTTGAGAACGACGAACTAACTCCTCCCTCCCCCGCCCCCATCGAACAACTGCACAACACTCGATGTGATGACGAGCGGAAGTGTCGACCGACGCACCAGAACCTCGCCAGCTCACCTATGTTACTGTCCCCCCCCCTCCCCCAATCTTGTTGTTGGGTTTCCTCCCCAGTCCGCAGAAGACAGTTGCCTTACTCCCGGTGGGCAGAGTGGTTCCCTCACAAGTGATGATCACACCCGTTTGGTGGCAGACGGCCGAGCTGGTCACCTCCGGTTTGCAGAGGGAACGGAAGATGGTTGGCTTGGTGGCTACGGATGTGCCGTCAGGCCAGAAAATGATTTTAAATTAGATTCGAATTCCAGCCCGCAGTTTCGTTCCCGACGGCATCGGGCAACAGCAGCAGCAATTTGGGATGACGTGCCTATTCAGTTTTGCGACAAGGTTTCCTGGCTCACATCTAACAGAGTAGGACTCCTTTATGGTTACTCCTGGATGCTTGTGTAGGCTGGCTTTGGTCACATGCGCCCCATACTGTATGATAAGTTTGTTTGAAGTACTGCTCAAACGCACTCTTATCCTGCTCTACCTAGCTAGGCGCTCAGAGAAGACTGAGATTAAAGACGTTTTTGTTTACCCCAGACCCTCAAGTGTGATCCCTCAGTCGATAATTTATTCACAAAAGTAAGCGGCGGAAGTTCAAATCTTCGGTCGTTACTTTTGAGTAAAACGAACCCGGCTGAGGGAATTAGCAAGGCCGTAACCGCCGCTGCTATTGTTGCAAATGTTCGTCTCTGCCTGCAAGACTGTCCACAAAAGATTCAGGAAGCATACGATGCGTAGTAGAAGGAATGAGGGATAGCTATGGCTGTCGTTCAGCAGAGATCGCTGATACGCCGAAGTTTCTTTGGGCGACTTGGAATGACAGCTCTCAATATCTTCTGTCGCCGATGAGGTCATTGATGCTTGCGTTAGCATTAATGTAACGCTTAGTACAACTAGTCCTTTTGTCAGAGAAAGAGGCGATTGTTCATTTCTGGACAAACAAATATTCAAGTTTGATGCAGACAATATCGAAGACTTTTGAAGGCTTTTCGAGGTCAAAATGTGGCGGGGAGCTAACAAAGCCACCTGCGGAATATTTCCCTGATATAGGGGGTTTTAATTGCCGTCGATGAGCAGCAGACTCTATAGGCCACAGCTGGAAGCCAATGGCAAACACGACGCTTGTTCTATCCAATAACCAGTTCGTACGTATGAGTGCAATTCCCAAGTGAGGCGTTGTTTCAGATTTGGCAAAGTAAAACCGATTTTTCTGATCATGTAGATGCTCGACTGCTCATGATATCTTGTGATCCTTAAACCCAAATTTCTAAATCCTTTTATTGGCAAATGTTGGTTGTCCTTTAGAAGATCCACCTACTTGTAACTCAGCAGCGACAACAGAAAGGGAGAAGGGTGCTGAAATGATGTGACATAAAAAGGGAAGTTTATGAACATGATGACAGCTTAACCGCAGATAACGACGATGTCTACCGTGTGCCTAGCAGCATGGAGGGCGCGTGGACGGTGACTCGTGCATGAGTTAGTTTATAGTGATAGTGGCGGGCTTGCGTTGCATCTACTGCACTCCATCTCCCTTCCCCCATCCATCTGGGTTCGGCACTAAGACAGAAACAAGAGGGTCGGAGATGGGACTGGGTGCACTGATTGATAAGGCTAAGCAACCCGCCTACTCGTGCCATAAACGCGCCTGGTTGGGGGGTGGACACAGGACCAGATCATGAACATACGCCTCTTCATTGGCGATGTGGGCAAATTAATTGGCCCCGTGCAGTTGAAAGTTGAAGTTTAGAAGACAGAATCCCAATTCATGTGTTCTCCAGCGGATTTGGTTAATGTGTACGTGCTTTATCCATATTACTACCCATCTTTCAAGTGTTAGCTTTTTCCTTACCGATTTCGCATCGCAAATTTGCATTTACCCATGAAGGGTTAACTGAAATTCGTAAACATTATTTCTGTTAGATCGGGTTTTATTACTTATTCGCATGCAGCATACTCCAAAGATATATAAATCACGCCAGAATGCTGGCTTTCGAATGCGCGTCTTCTGACCACCTGAAAAAAAACAACACTCGCCAAAAATAACTAGTTGAGTAGCATGTATTTATCCCACTGACTTTCAATGCATTAAAAATGAAGACATATTTTATAGAAAGCGCGCAGCAAACACCCTTCAGTATGCTCATTTTGTGGCAAATTTCATCATCTTCAGATTTTAAACTCAAAGAAAGGATAACCGCGGTTTTAAAAAATTTTCCACTTCCAAGTCACTTTTGAATCCTACATATCATTGTACTTCCGTTTAATGTATGCAGATTTGTAAATAAAATATTCTTCTATGCTATTACGAGGATACGTGCATAGCTCACAAAATTTTGCCATGGATCTGGACCACGCCCTGTATTTCCAAAAGCGGCACTAATAAACGGACAGATTCCACGATATTTGAATTTACATGCGACATTTTAAAGAAATCTCTCAAATGGGGACGTGTCAGCATCCAAAGGATGTCATATCTTTGGGCAGAACATTTAAAAAAGACACCAGCAACTACAGACCAAGTATAGTGAAGGGTGTTTCCTGCGTGATTTCTAGAAAATATGTCTGAATTTGAGAAAAACAACAACCAGTCATTTATAACATGCATGGATTTTTGCAGGTAGCCGGCATCCTGATGTGAATGAAATAGGGACAGAATGAATAGTCGAGCACCGAGGCCATTTGTTTATTTGTCTGAGCGTCCGACCTCGTGCAGGAATCCACCGTCAGAGATAAAAGCGACAACGGAACAAGCGACAGTTATAGGAGGTACTGGCCAATCAAGGATCAGTCACGCAGTTGGCCACACAGGGCTCTCCATGACAGCATAAAATCTCTACATCGGTTGAGTGACCTCGTCGTAAGCCCAGGTTTCAATAAAAAAATGATTCCGATGCTCAACCAGTCTTCTCCTCTCATACCCATACATACACCAGAAATGAGAACATTCGCATTCATTCGTGAATGAAATATCATTGGACTATGTAGCATGCTAACCAGTATTAAAATCCCACCCATATGATCCTGTCTAGTAGAAATAGCATCTAAGAAGTTCTGATATTTTTCTATGGCTGTAGTCTCCCTGTTTTCCAGGTTCCCAAAATCCAGTCCGCACGGTTTCTGATTTACGTACGTTTTAAGGACATCACCTTCTATAACAGTATTCAATCTCGAAACCGCCTGTGGATGCGACGTACTTTTGGGCAAAGGTAGAGACATTCGGGATGATTACTGCTGGAACATTTCCCTTCGTGAACTACCGACCCCCAGTCGCAAGTTGCGAAGACGACCCACTAATGAGGCCCACGGCTAACCGACTGTCGGCTTCCGCTGCTGTGAATGTTCAATATTCAGGCACATCTGCTATTTACTTATCTAATCTGATTACAGAACGGAGAACTTGTGTCTTGCGGTTGCAGCCTGCAGCACTCAGGGGCGGTGACATTGCGCTAAACAATAGGTAATGGGGAGAGGGAGCATTGCTGTCGAGGACAAGGGAAGTCGGAGCGGCCGCTTCTATCCGCTTACCATAGTCGGCTTATCATTCAACCAGCTCTGGTCCAGAAAACCTGACCTTTGAGACCGCTGGGGAGTACTTATCTGCTGTCGACAGGTTATGGTTTGTGCAAATACCTCCGGTGGCTCCGAATCGAGTCTCAACGCCGAGATGGAAAGCGCTTATTCACACCCATAATCAGGCTTAACCAATGATTTTCTCTAACGTGTAATT